ATCCATCCATCGTTATTATTATCATTTGATATCTTTGAAAGAGAAAAGAAAATCGTTTCGAACTAATATTATATATATTTATAAAATAATCATCACGATGATGAATATTGAAACTTTGTTACAAGCTGCACAGATTTTGGAAAGTCAACAATCAATACCACCAAAAAAACGACTAGCTAGAGGTGAGTATGACTCATGTAGTCTTTTTCTCTCTTTCTAGTAGGATCATACGATATGTAAAGTCCCACGTGTATAATGAATGAATCATGCACGTGGCTAACTATCAATTCTTATAACCATATATATATATATATATAGACAGAAAAAAAATATCTAAGGAATATATTGTACAACATGTTTCTACATCGAATAGCATTTAAGAAGGATTCGATATGATTTCATTTGAAAATGAATAAGAATTGTCCTTGTTTTTCACTTTACGTTAAGGTTGATCGAGCCAGGTAGCTCATGTTTCTTTCGAATATATATTTGTATGTGCTTATAACTTGTTTTTGTAGTGACACACTCGATCGATCACACGACTATAGTCGTTGTCGTTATCGACCTAGCAAAGTAGTGGTAATAGTAAAAAGCAGGAACGGCTCGCTCATGTGTGACGTGCATCGATACGAGCATTCAATCCATTTTTTTTCTTGTCGTCGATTACACTTTTGCGATACTAGAAGAACACATTTTCGTTGACTTCCCATCATAATACCTGATACGGAAAACTAAAAATATGCAATCTGAATTGGTATTGTTCAAAAGTGAGTGTTCAATTTTACAAGTAAATTTTTTCTCATTTTTAATTGTATTGAGTCACTGAAAATATATCTATTGAAAAGAAAAATTCAAAACAAAATTTCTAAAAAAAATATTCTAGAATTATCGGTTTCAAAACATTTATTTCTATTGTATACATAAATCTTCGAGATATATACATGCATACGCGTGTCATATTCATTTCCTTCTTCTTTTTCTTGTTCTTCTATTTCGTCATCGTCTGCCTAACGGCTCGCTTATTGAGCCGGACAGACGGGCGTGCATATATAGTGAGTGATTTGAAAGAAACAAAATCGTCACAGCATACATATATACTCTTATCTATTTATTAACGAGTGCATATGTATTGCAATAATGTGGTGGAGTATGTCATATATTTTCTATAACTTAACTTAATTTTACAAACATTTTAGGCGATCCCCAAACAACTCCTAATAATCATATTCCAACAAGTGTTCTTTCGTCCACAACAATCAATACAAATCCAACAATAACACCACCACCACTACCATCATCGTCATTATTAATTAAAAATGAACATCTTACAGAATATCCTCAATGTGATCTTAATCTTAATTTACATCATTTTAATCATCTAGTTCAACAACAATCACGTTCATCTCAACAACTACAACAACAGCAACAACATTTTACATCCGATCAAACTGGTGCTGACGATGATGATGATGATGATGATGATCAAAATACAGATGGAAACAGTGACATATCTAATCGGTATTATATATAAGTATATATATATATGTTAATACAAATCTTTTTTCTAGTAACCAAACAGCGTGTTTTCGTGATCGAGAAATTCACAATCGATTAGAAAAACATCGGTAAGTGACGACATCTATTATTTTTCAATAATTAAATCTTAAATTTCATCAATTAAAAATAATTCGGATATTTCGAAATAAAAAAGAAAATCTAAAATAAATCATTCGATAAAATTCTTATTGGTTAATCATAGTTAGTTAGAATAAAATACTGAAATCAAATTGTACTATCACTATTTTTTTCCGATTCTTTCCCCTTTTATGGTATCTCCAAAAGAAGCTCGAAGGTATTTAATAGATTTTAATAAAAGAGAAAATTTAATTTTAATCATTTATTTTTAGACGAGCTCATTTAAAAGGTTGCTTTGACAATCTAAAAGCTGAAGTACCATGTCAACGAGATCGAAAAATAACAAATCTTCAAGTATTAAACTTAGCTATTAAATATATTCAAGTAAGATTTTTCGTTAATTTTCTTTTTTCGTTGAAATATGTTAATTATTTTCTTTTTTAAGAATTTATCACGAAAAGAACGTGAATATGATCAAGAAATTGCTTTATTAACATCACGTAATATTGAATTACAACAACGACTTCGTGCACTTAAAACTGATTTAAATTCTGAAGGACATAATGTTGACACATGGCTTGATTCATGTTCAGATATTGATCGTTCAGTATCAACTCGTACAGCTTCTGAAGCTGAAATGTATCGAACATTTGACGATGATGATGATGATATGAATTCATCAACAATCGAAACAAAATTAACTAATGGACATGATGATTTAGATACAAATAATAATCATCATGGTATGAGATCAAATATAAACAATTCATGTGAGTGTTTCGCTTTTACTGTTTGCTGAAAAAATGTGCTATGCTTTGCTTTGCTTTGTTTTGTTTGCAAATAAACAGCGAAATGCTTTGCTGCGCTTCGTTATTAATTTTTGATTTTGAAATAGAAAGAATTTTATATTGTTTTTTTTTCGTTTATTTTCTTCAGATGCAATTGATTCCAAAATATTATTAAATAATCGAAAAAATACAACACGTCAACGACCAAGGCCATCAAAAAGAAAATTATCATCAATACCAACAACAAATTTATTACAATCATTATCAACATCAATACCAACACGTTCAGAAAATCTATTAGATTATAATATAGCAAGACATCTTCATCTTGATCAACCATGTAATTTATTAACATCAATTAAAGATAATTTATCATCAACAACATTAACACCAATAACTGACATTCGATATGAAATTGTTGATTTATTTACAAAAGGTACAAATTCACATTTACAACAACAACAGCAACAACAACAACAAAGTTCACCATTACCGTCCATTGCTAGTCTTATGAATAGGCATTCATCGCCTATTGTTTCACCAACAAAACAGACTATAGGTATTAATACAGATCCTTTAACAACATCGACAACAAATATTTTACATCAACCTGTTGCTACATCGTGATGAGATTATTTTTCTTTTCGTTTTTGTTTCTCTTTTTCTTCTTGGCTTGTCTTCTAATGTTTTAATGCTTTTTCTCTTTTCGAAGTATATATATATATATATTTACATATATCAGTGAGCCATCAGAAAAATAAAATGAACTGTAATTATATAATAAACAATACGAAATATTTTATTTTATTGCAGAACGAAAAAATATTGATATTAATCAGTAATTAAAATAGACATCAAACGTATTTATCTGATTTTATTACTACTATAGAAAAGAGAAAAAAAAGAAAGGAAAAGAAAGCGAAACAAAAAAGAGAAGAGTGCACCGGCCGGGAATCGGACCCGGGTCGCCCGCGTGGCAAGCGAGCATTCTACCACTGAACCACCGGTGCTCGATATCGACTGATATATATTTTCCTTTTGACATAAACGAAAAGCAAGTATCAAGAAATAATTCTTGAAAAAATCTTTCTTTATATAATTATAGACTTTATTTAGAAGGTAATATTCATAATACTGATAGCGGCTATATCGAAATATATTCTAAAAATGAATGTAATATAAAATATACAACAAAATAAAAATATTTTGCAATAGTCAATTCTATCTTTATTTATTTTCTTTCATTTTACGCATTAAAATTTGTTTTTTTTTGTTTCACGATGATCTCGAGAAGCAAAGTAAAAATATCCAGATCGTACCGACACATTCACTCTTCAATTTTTGCCTAGACGATTTACTTTCTCTACAGAAAGGATCGAAAAAAGATGTTTTTTTTAATGGATTTTGTTCTTTTTTTTCTCATTTTAAGATAATGAAAATGAAAATAAAAAGAACAGTCAAGTACCACTTTCTTTTCACAAATGTCTTACAGCTAAAACTGTCGTTGACGATAGATAATGAGTTAGAAAGATGATTAAATGATCAATTATAGTTATTCCAGGGATTTGTTGAAAGTTCCCTCATAGTAAAGTTTTTTATATGAACTTGTAATTTTCGATGATATAATAATAATATTTTGCTGATGTGATGATGAATTTTTTCTGTACAAGTTTGATATAATTCTTTTCAAAAATTTGGCATGAAACTTTACACAAAATAGAAGGTATTATTTCATGGATACAAGGTTAATTTTATTGATCGATGAGTGCTTTTGAATCAAGCACAACTGATATTTATCAGGCTATCTTTCGCTATATGTCATTACCCTTCGATTTATATATATTTTCATATTTGTAAGAAGGCTACATACGACCTTAAAGAATTTGTAAAAAATATTGCTAATGAATCAATTATAAACTCGATTTTTGTTAATAAATTTTATCACCGTATCATGCTTCTACAGATATTCTATTTTCTAGCAAAGAACATTTTTAAAGCGTGAACAATACAGCATTTTATTTATCGAATATTGTTTTGTAACGACTTAGACAATATAATTGACTCTAGTAAAAATTAAAGCAAAAATTAGTGACAGATATTGTTTTAAATAAATGATTGTAGCTATATTTTCAAGATAGACTAGCAATACAGCTTAGAATCGAATACGATGAATTTTTATACAAACTTTCTTAATTGTGTTGCAAGGAGTGTGATTCTCATCGAAGTCTAGTAAAATTCAATTTTTACTGTTGTCGCAACAGTAGCAAATGTTTCATTACATCTCATACACGATCTGAAACAAAAAAAATAGTGCTAACTTTCATATAAACGAATAAACATACAACATAAATTTATAATAGATACTATCAAGATTACCTCTCCCGACAGACAACTCGGTCGAAATTTATTAATACTTGATTACGTCAAGAGTAACCATATACTATAGAAAAATGGAGCATTACTTTTACTTTTACTGCTTATAAAAGGCAAGATTTTTCACACTTACTAAACGATAATCAAATTTCGCTGAGACTATTTCTGGTTCTCTTGAAATAAGTTGTACTGACAATATCATTCTCAAGTAGATATATATATCAGTTTCAGTTAACTGGACTTCAGCCAAACTAGTTAGAACCCGATCAGATATAGTTCCACTGCAAATCATATAGAAGTAATTCAACTGAGTTACTTTCTCTTTGGCTCTACATTAACATAGCTGTCTACTTATTCTGAAATCAAAGATTTGAAACAATGATTTTTCTCCAAAAAGAATGTTGTCAAATGATTTATTCATTTTTACTTCTTGCTAACCGATCATATTATCTATATTTACATCGAAAATAAAAACAGTTCGCATATGCTCAAAACTCAAATATATATATAAAAATACATTCTGATAAAAATAAAGATACGTTTATCTTCAAGCAAATTTGTTTGACAATAAATCTACTTATAGCAACATTGGCTGGACATGAAAGTGATGGTTTTGTTTTTTCCTCGGTTCACTCATCTAACTCTGTTTCTTGAAGACAAATTTTGTTTTATTTTAGAAAATATCTTCATTTGATTTTATTAGCGAATTGTAATATACATCATGTAAAACGATGACTACAAAAGAAAGTCAGTTAAACTTTACTAATTACAATTGAGAAAACAATGTTTATGTCGATTATAGTGCTCGAATAATTATGATAAAAATAGTAATTACAGTTGTAATCACGATTCTGTCATTTTATCGTTGACGTTGTTCGTTTTCATATTTTTTCCTTCAACAATTAATTACAAAATCTATGACGCAAAACGAATATCTATTGACTCAATACGAAGAAAAAATAACACCATATTGTACAACTAACATATTAAGCAGCACAGCACACATTTCAATAACAGCCATCAATGCCAAATCAAATGATTACCACCTTTCGTATGTTACCACAAGAAGTTGTGAACCAAATTCTTGATTATCAAACCGATTATACAATTCTTTGCTCAATGAGAGATGTCTGTCCAGAGTTCAACAACATTGTTGACAATTATCATCGATATCAGGTAAAAAATTTTCTATTATCATTGTCTAATTTTTATTTATTGATTTTCAAATTATTTTTCGGTCCTACAATCTATAAATAAGGAAATTTTCAATTTTTAAAGAACAGATTAATCGCTAATAAACGAGTTTATCTTGTTGTAGATAACGAGCTAGAATGTCCTCCACAAAACACTGTCAACATTTTGTCCCTGAAAAATATACCTCACGGTAATGTCCTTCAAAGTACATGTCTTCGACAAATGGGCCTTGGAGAGTTTGGAGGCAAATGGACGTAAACGGAGAGAAGATTGATCCTCATCCACATTCTTACATAGCCATTTGAACCATATTCATATCATCAAGATAGAAGATTTTTCCTCAGGTCTATTTCTACAGAGATTATTTTTCCAAGGTTATTTAATTTCAAGAACATTGTTGAAAAGACATTCTAGTATGCATTAGTCTAGTATTTAGAAGAAATATAATATTAAGAAACAAATTATTTGAAACAATCCCTTCAATAATCAAAAACTATATTTTTCTTCAGAGACATAAAATAATTACTGTAACTGACTAATGAAAAAACCCTTATTCATCGGTTACCCTTAGTAACATCCTTTCACTCTAGCCTTTCAGACAACATTATTGAACACTATGAAGCATGTAAGATCATACAAACAGGCACACCTATATTCATCTACCCTTGAACACAATTACAATTATTGTTATATCACTAAGACAACACGAGGTAATAGTGATTGATCTACCTTTTCTCTTCATTTATATCATGTCATTAGTTACACTTTTTCATCTAGGTACTCACTACACTAGATCTGGGATGGAATCAAATTGGAAATGTTGGTGCAAAACATCTCAGTGATGCATTACGACATAATACGGTAACTTTCATTCATTCTTCATCTTCTATACTATATTTTCATCTGCATTTTTTCATCTAGACAATCACCACACTACATCTGGGTTGGAATCAAGCTGGAGACGTTGATGCACAACACCTTAGTGATGTGATAAGACATAACACGGTATTTTTCATTCTTTCTTCATCTATACCATATCTACATGTACAGTTTTTATCTAGACAATTACCACACTAGATCTTAGATGGAACGAAATTGGAGATGCTGGAGTACAATATCTTGCTGATGCATTACGATATAATACAGTAATTATCATTCTTTCTTCATGTATATCTTGTCTTCATCTGCATTTTTTCATTTAGGTACTCATTACATTGAATCTTCAACGGAATCAAATTGGAGATGTTGGAGCACAGCATCTGGGTGATGCACTTCAACATAATACGGTAGTTCTCAATTTCTCTTCATATTTTCATTTATATTTCTCGATCTAGACACTCGCTACACTAGATCTCGCAAGTAATAAAATCGAAAATGTTGCGGCACAGCATCTGAGTGATATATTAGAGCATAATACAGTAATTCTTATTTTTTCTTCATTTATACCATGTCTTCATCGATATTTGTTCTTCTAGACACTCACTACATTAAATCTCGAAGAAAATAAATTGGATGAAGATGTAGAACATCGAATCAATGAACTTATTGAGCGAAATCAAAGATTGAAAAATACATAAATACTAGTATGGAATATATTTCACTGATAAATGCATAGTTATTGATGAACACGCAGATAATCTTTTTTTGGTATTGTAACTCCTATAGAAAGAATAAATAAAACTGTTGAATTTTGCATTTGATTTGTATTAAAGTAATGATATTGGCTTAGCTTTTTTACCTGTAATTTCATTAATAGGTTTACTTACTATCTGCACGATGAGTTTCTTTTCTTTTTGACGAAGAGAACGAAAGCATTCATTGATTTAAGAAGAGAAATAGTCGTAGACTTAATAATCGTAGAAAAAACGTTCAGTCTAATTGGCCAAAGAAAAAACTCATTTCGTAAAAAAAACTTCTTGAGTATATTTCATTCTAAGAGACAAAACGGACTTTGATTAGGATTTGATGTGAACACATTGTTATTATTTAATAGAATTGATTTTTAATTGTTTTACACGATTTATTATATTTGTGATGATCGAAAAGGCTTCGCACCACATTTCACATATGTGTTTGACTCGTATACTATTTAGTCTTCTCATCATATGATTAAAATAGTTCTATACGAAAGTTTAGCGTTAAAATGTACATGACATTCATCGAATTACCTGGTTCTTTTTGTTTTCTCTCCTTATCCTTTTTATATGATAAGAACATACAATAGTTATCTGATCGCACTATATTCTCATTTAAAGGTGAAAGGAGAGACAGACGCACATCATTTTATTTTTGCTTGTGTTGACTATCATGTCGTCAAATAAATATTCTTCCCAATTAACTCAAGATAAAGCATATGGCACAGCTCAAGCTATGTTGTACGCAACTGGTCTTACTGAACCAGATATGGCTCGAGCTCAAGTTGGTATTGCTTCAATGTGGTACGATGGAAATCCATGCAATATGCATTTAGCTCAATTAGCTGATTGTGTACAAAAATCAATGCGTGAATCAACTAATCAAAATAATCTTGTTGGTATGCGTTTCAATACAATTGGTGTTAGTGATGCTATATCTATGGGTACAACTGGTATGTCTTATTCATTACCATCACGTGATTTAATTGCTGACTCAATTGAAAGTGTTATGGGTGCACATTGGTATGATGGTCTTATAACAGTACCAGGATGTGACAAGAATATGCCTGGATGTATTATTGCAATGGCACGACTTAATCGTCCAGCATTGATGATTTATGGTGGAACCATTGGTGCAGGTCATACAACAGTAGGCCCATGTACTCGAACGATTGATATTGAATGTACATTTCAAGCCTATGCACAATATACTAAAGGTGAAATTACTGATGAAGAACGACAAGATGTTGTACGACATGCTTGTCCAGGACAAGTAAATATTATTTTTTCTTTGAAACATTCTATCATGTATTTTAATTTCTGTAGGGAGCTTGTGGAGGTTTATATACTGCTAATACAATGGCTGTAGCAATTGAATCAATGGGTCTTTCATTACCATATAGTTCATCAACACCTGCTGCTGATCCACTTAAATTAGTTGAATGTAAACGTTCAGTTGATGCAATACGTATATTACTTGAAAAAGATATCAAACCAAAAGATATCATGACTCGAAAAGCATTTGAAAATGCTATTACTGTGGTAAGTAATCATTCCGTAATATTTTGTTTATATATTAAAGAAAATTTAAATAGGTAAATGCTCTTGGTGGTTCAACTAATTCTGTACTTCATTTAATTGCTATGGGTCATGCTGCTGATGTACCAATAACTTTAGAAGATTTTCAAGAAATTTCTCATCGTACTCCATATATTGCAGATCTTCGACCATCAGGAAAATATCTGATGGCTGATTTACATTCAATTGGAGGAACACCTGCTGTACTTAAATATTTACTATCACTAGGTAGAATTCATGGTGATATAATGACAGTTACTGGAAAGACGCTTGCTGAAAATTTGGCTGAATGTCAAGATTTAGGTTTTATTGAAGGAAGACCATCGACTGTACGACGAGGTGCTGGTCCTGGTAATCAAGATCTAATTCATTCAATTGATCGTCCATTAAAAGCAAGTGGTCATCTTCAAATTCTTCGTGGTAATTTAGCTCCTGATGGAGCTGTTGCTAAAATTACAGGCAAAGAAGGTCTTTGGTTTGAAGGACAAGCACTTGTCTATGATAGTGAAGAATTAATGTATGAAGGATTACTTAATGGTCAAATTCGTAAAGGTACAGGAACTAAATATGTTATTGTTATTCGATATGAAGGCCCTCGTGGGGGTCCTGGTATGCCTGAAATGCTTAAGCCAACAGCCATGATTATGGGTGCAGGTCTTGGTCAAGATTGTGCATTAATTACTGATGGAAGATTTAGTGGAGCATCACATGGATTTATTGTTGGTCATGTTTGTCCAGAAGCAGCTGTTGGTGGACCAATTGCTTTAGTAGAAAATGGTGATGTTATTTCAGTAAAATTAAATAACAATGGAGGTGGAGGTTCAATTAATTTACATGTTTCTGAAGATATAATAAATGAACGACGTAAAAAATGGGTATTACCTATTAAAGCAAATATACCTAAAAAAGGATATTTACGAAAATATGTACAATGTGTACAATCAGCATCGAATGGATGTATTACCGATGGTTAAAAACTTTATTATGATATTAAAATTAATTAGAAATTAAATTGTAGAAAATAGTTTTTTGTTTTATCTATCTAATAATTCTTTTTTGTTGTTGTCTTCGTGTGAGAATATAATAATATATTGTCTAATTCATTTTCTTCTTGAAATAAATCTATTCATTGAATATAGAAATCGAGTATCTGTAAAATAACACCATCTATCGTTATTCTCATTGGTGTATTTGTTTTTTATTAGGTTTGTCGTCCATAAAATAATAATAACAGCTACTTTTATTCTATTTCATTTTGTTCTGTTTCATCGTGTTTATTAATCTTAGTTATATATTTTAGATGCTTGTTCGAAAATTATTTAATCGGCAATCATTTGCCAGTTCAACTACTCTTCTTAGTCGTAGTATTTCGACAAGTTTATATCGTTTAGCTGCGGATAAAGAATTTGTTCATCGTGATACATCAAAAAATAATTCTGATGTTAAATTTGATTTTACACCTGAAAATTATAAACGTGTTGAAGCTATTATTGCTATGTATCCTGAAGGACATCAATCGGCAGCTGTTATACCTTTACTTGATCTTGCCCAACGACAACATGATAATTGGTTACCACTATCAGCAATGAATAAAGTAGCTGAAGTTCTTAAAATGGCTCGAATGCGTGTTTATGAAGTAAAATTCTATTTATAAGAAAAAAAAAGAACACGAAAATATTTCTAATTTCTTTAAATTAAGGTTGCTACATTTTATACAATGTTTAATCGAAATCCAATGGGAAAATATCATATTCAAGTATGTACAACAACTCCATGTTGGTTATGTAATTCCGATGGAATTTTAAAAGCAATTGAAAGCAAATTAGGTATTCATGTTGGTCAAACAACATCTGATGGTTTATTTACATTATCTGAAGCTGAATGTCTTGGTGCATGTGTTAATGCACCAATGTTATCGATTAATGATGATTATTATGAAGATTTAACAGAAAAAGATATTAATGAAATTTTAGATGAAATTAAACAAGGTGGAAAACCAAAAGCTGGTCCAAGATCAAAACGTTTTGCAGCTGAACCACTTCCTGGACTTACATCATTAACTGAACCTCCTAAAGGACCTGGCTTTCGATTACGTAAAGAACTTCAATAAATTTTCTTGCCGTTTCTTTTTTTTTTATTTTAAAAACAACAGTCTGTGTGTGTGTACAAATATAGTGGATTAGATTATATAGAAAACAACCACTTCAAACCAAATGTTTTGAACAATATTGAAGAGCTTTTTTGTTCAAAAATTAAACATTATTTATTAAAAAGAATACATTATTATACTAGAGATTTCTACAAAGAAAATATTTCTATAACCTGTAGTGTTAGTATGATCTGATTACTCAATAATGTATAGAAAATAATTTTTAGTCGTTAACTATCTTAGTTCTACAAGACGGTAATGCTAATAGGTACACTATTCATCTGTATTACCTAAACCTGCAATGACTGATTTTGTAATGGTTTCTGTTATAACTAATTTATAAAACAATGCTAAGATACACAATCGATTGAGTTAATATTCAAAATACAAAGTCACAAAAAGGACCCTTTCCTTATAAAATAGTCTTCATGTTCCATATTACTCGATTAAAATGAATTGTTTGATAGACATTATTATTTAAAATTATGAGCAGAATCATATTCAATACAAATACCTAATTTATTTTATTTTTCTTGTCTTCAAAAATATTGGATTAAATATATAAACATCAATACAAACATTATGTTTGTTTCTAATCGATTTGTGTAGTTATCAAAAGTTGTAGTGAAGCAAAAGTTAATCCCTTGATAATTCTTCCAACTATTTTATTAAGTATTTTCTTGTTTTGATTCTACAAATAGATTTATTATCAATCTTAACAAGAATTCCTATAAAACAAATTCTTCTATTTATTTGCTCTTCTATATCATCATCATCAATGTATCATATAGCATTGATATGGGACTAACTATTAAAGATAAATATGAATAACATCATGTATTTACTCGTATTTCAGTTAAATAAACTCTTTTACTGAAATTATAAAAGCAATTTTTTTTAAACATGCATTATAATGAATTTTTGTATCAAATAATCAATATGGGATACTTATTCTATTAGTAAAAATGAGTTCACATATACAAAAAATAAACATTCAAAATTCGAAATGCACGCTACGTTCAATTTCTAAATTTGTTTGACACATAGTATATTGTATGTATGTATATACCAGAGTTGATATTAAAATTCAGTTGTTTTTATAAAGAATAATGTATTTTGTTCATGTATGATAAATTATATATTTTCACGAACTGTTGAATTTTAAAACCAACTCCAGTTTGCATTTCAGGGTAAACATGTTTCGTTAGCGGAATTTCTGTGAAAAGAAGCACAAAAACAAAAGACAAAAGAAGAAACTGACAATTAAATCAACTATTTTTTAGAAGACCTAATTCTTTTATCGCTGCATATTGTGAAGGTATTTCCATAAGTGCACGTAAAGCAAAACTTGAATCAGTATTTGTCGATGCTTCAACAACACTATTATAATTAACAAATTGAAAATTATCAAATTGTCGTGTTGGTAATGAATCATCGAATTCTTCCATCATATCCCAAGGTCCATCACCAACACCGATCATAACAATAGATAATGGATAATTACTTGCTTCAACAATAGCATCTTTTGTTTGTTTTTCATTAGTAACTTGACCATCGGCAACAATAACAAGAATGTGATACTAAAAAATATTAAAATTAGTTCAAGAAAGTTAACGAATTCAAATACACTTACTTGTCCTGTTTTCTTCACAATTCGAATTGCTTCTCTAATTAATGGTGCAAAATTTGTTGGTCCAGACATACGTACTCTCGGTGTAATCTCATTATATGCATCAAGAACACCACGAAAACCTTTACAATAAGTACCATCTGGCTAGAAAAAAAAATGAAAATATATGACTATTTAAAGAATAGAGAGAAAGATGACCATACACGTAATGGAAATATTTTTCTATCTAATGTAGATCGATCACCGAAACCAAATGCTGGTATTAACATGTCTGAATCATATTTTTCTAAAGTTCTTCCAACAATTGTAATAACCTAGAATATATATTTTTGTTTCTTTCAAAAATAAACTAAATTCTACTTACACTTTGATATGGATTAAGTAATCCATTTTGAATATGATGCAGAGATAAACCATTAAATGAATGTTTACCTGTTTCTAAATTACTTATTGTATAATCAATACCAAACATAAGTTGTGAATGATGAAGACCAACTTCTTTAACAGCATTATTTACTTCTTCGAGTGATGCATAATCATCTTTAATTACATTTTGATGTGTAATAGAAGTTTTACCTTAATTATTTATATTTTATTTTTATCTTAGAAATTTTAGATAATACTTACGAACAATCACGGGTGGTACTAATGCTTCTTCAGTTGGTAATTTTTCAGCTGTTGATGTTGTTGGATTTTGTTCAAATCTTGAACGACGTCGTGGACCAGATGATGCTGATTGTTCGTCTTTAGGTAATAAAGATATGCGAATTACATTGTCTCTAGTCGGAATATTATTTATCGATGATTTCTCTTCATGGGCTGATGGTGATGATGAATTATGAGTGTCATTATTGTCTAGAATAGAATAGAAAAATGATCGATGTTATAGTCTGTTATATATTGACAAACTATAAATAATCAAGAAAAGTTATATATTGTTTCTCTAACCTATGACAGTTGTTGATGATGTCGTCGCATTCGTTGAACTTGATAAAAGACTAAATTGACTAGCAGAACTTGATGAATGTAATGCCGGAGAATTTTCTTCAACGATAGTTGGTAATACTGGAACAGCTGATAGTCGATGTTCGGATAAATTATGACTAAAAAGATTCTCTTCGAGACTTAGACGACGTCGTTGTTGTTGTCCATTTAGTTTATTTTCATTTATTTTAGTTGATCGTTGTCGATAGACAATATATACGAGAAGAAGAAGGAGCAAAGAAATGGAAGCTAACAGCAGTATTAATCCATATTCTTGATTGACATATGACAGAATTGTTGTTAATGAAAAAATAGATGTCTTCTATTATACAAGTGTACATATTTATTTAAAATAATTTCGAGACGAAAAAAAAACTAACCTTGGAATCTGACGTATACTGTGAACATCGATCTTGATGATTTTCTGATGATATAGATGATCGATGCTATTAAAGTATATTAAACAGATGAATGATAGTTTCTCTTAGATAAATAATGTTATTTGATATGTTGAAGATCATTCTTTATCAATGTTTTCTCGTTTCTTTAATGTTATGTTTATTTAATAGAATGATATATATATATATATTCGATAGAAATCTTTTGATTCATATTACTTCTTTTATTTTTAACCAAAAAGAAAAAGCCATGAGAAAATGTATTGTCTGCTTAAAAGCTTTTATATTATGCAATGTCGTTTGACTAGACTTTTCTTTTTCTCTAATTAAGATATTAATTCTTTTGCTTATTCATAGCACCATATGATGATATGTTAATGCTTGTATTAGTAGGCGTACTTTCCTTCCCTACAATATCAGAGCGGACATCATGTTTTCTTATTTTTTTTTTGTTCTTTAGTATACTAGTAGATGTAGGAATTTTTCTTTTTTTTTGATGTATGAGATTATTATTAAGACTCGACAATGACAACGACAGTTTGGCCTTTTCTTTCACCATCATGTATACATATAACGAATTGTTTGTTTTTTTACTATTATTTCCGATTGGAACTAAGAAATATAATGCAAAAAAGAAAGACCGACAGATGAAAGGTTCATACCATTTTGTTATTTACTCGAAAGAACAAATAATTACGTATATATGAAAAGATATTCTTTCTGTTATATTTATATATTTCCTGAATGTCTTTATTGAAATATATACATGTGATTGTTTAGTCGATCAATCAATCAATTGTTAGAGGGATGTATTACCTTTTGGAAATTGTCAGCGATAAAGTTATATATTATACTAATTCATTATAACTGTAACTGAAAGAAACTAATAGAAAATCTGTGAAAAATGATACAGATAATGACAAATTAGACATTAATTGACGACTATTTTTGCAGAACCTATATAATCACATATATTACTCTGTTTTTAACGATTGGTCTTTAGCAATGAACTAAATCTGAAAAATATATATATGGATTAAAAAATTTCTGTTCTCAAATAATAAACGATAATTTAACATTGATGTCTATGATTCTTAAAAAAAAAAAATTAAGATATCTCATGACACCTGTCACAATTAGTCAATACGTTCTATATATATTACCTTATTGAACTTTTTACCATGTTGCCATTGTTCACATAGTGACTCGTCAGAAGACCATATTGGTTTTATACCATATTTACCTGAATGCACATGTTGCAATCGTGGTAAATTAGTTGATGATAGAAGACGTTGTTGTTCTTTCGTTGATGGTTGTACAATCTGTTGTCGAAAATTAGCACGTGATTGAACTTGATTGTGTGTATCCGAGTGTGAATAGAATACCGCTGCGAATGATTTATCATGTGGTCGTTTTAGATATGTTTTCATTGATTAAAATGATATCGATAGTATGTAAAATACATCAATGAATGTATGTTGATTGTTTGTTTTCTTGTCGTTCTAGTTGCTACTATCTAATATCATTCTGTTTGACTTCTACCGCATCCTACTCTTAAAGTTTTTCTTGTTTGCTGTAGATAGTGATGAGATAATGAAACCAATTAACAGCATAGAAATTAAGGATAGCCAGTCGTTCGTCAACACAGCCGGTTTTTATTCTTTACCAGTTTTTTGCTTCTTCTTCTTCTTCTTCTTCTTTTCTTTTTTTTGTATCGTTTTGTCAGATGTACACTCTTCTATTTATCATAGTATGTATCCAACACCCAATGATGTAATTCAAGACGAGTAAGAGAAGAAGAAGAAACAGAGAAATAGACAAATTCGCTCTCCGATACAATGTTCCAGGTCTGGTAAATAGTTAGAAATATACGGAAAGAAAAGAATATACATACATATATATATATATATATATTTAGAAAGAAATACACATACACACAATAATACATTGTCACATACAACAAACAATATATAATGCATACTAATTCAATCAAGATATGGATCACTTCTTATAGATCATTCTCTTTGACATTTCATTTTTTTATTGTTTTCTAGTCTATTCAGATTTTTGAAAACCCTATGAAGAAGATAATATTAAAAAAACATTGATATGCTCCAGGACAACAGACATCGAGGAAGGACATCGATTATCAACCAGCTGGCTAAGATTTTCAATATTCTTGTCAGCTGTAACCCTGGACAAAAAAAGAATGCACCGAGGCATTAGTATCTTTATGTATTATTGAAGTACTGCTTTAAATTAATCAACATTATTTTTAAATATGGAAATTAGTTGTCAAAATAATAAATTTCATGATACTCGTTTGTTAAGTAGTTGACTAGTATATAGAATAGATATTCTGAAGGCCAAAAATTTGCTTGATATTACCCATTCATTTCATGCGTAAACATCTGGTTTCTTTTTGTCTTAGCAATTGGGAATATGTTACTTGTTATGCATAGAAAATAAATGTAAAATTAAGATCAACATATTTGACAACTAAACTCAACAATTACTATAACAAGAATTATTTTGTTAACGTTATTTTTTTTTGGATTTCATAATTTATATATAGTACATTTAGTGCAAATCAAGTACATATATAAAATAATACGCGTAGTAAGCCATCAAAATATAAATAATGATCTTGTCGTCACGTGGTTCTAACAGTTATAAAAAACAAAGAGATATGAGTTGGAAATATTAATGAAAATTACGTTAAAAATAGTCGAAAACGATTATATTGACAAGAAATATTATATTATGGGGATATACATATTTTTGTATATAAATGGAATGTAAGAATGCTTCCTAATTTCTAACTGATATAAATAAATTCCATACGAAAAAAGATGAGGTCAATGTAATTGTTGTTCTCTCTTTTCCATCTATTTTCATATAATAGAACTGAATTCTCTATATACTTTTCAATTTTTAACTCAATCATTTCTTGGTCAGAAACAGATCCATACAAATGTTTATTTAAATTCGTTTAATTTGTAAGTTTACTGATAAATCTATTAAAAGCTTTTTTTCGCCGTAATACAATTACAATAGCATTAGCTTTTATTAGATTCTACGTTATATTTGAAATCATAACTCAATTAAATCTTTTATCTACTAAGAATATTTCTAAAAATAAACAATTCTATTCATACGTCAACTACATTCGACAGAAATAAATAGTAATTAATCATACTATATAGAATAAACGAATGCATTTATATTAAAAAAACACATTGATTTTCAATGAATTTTTCTATTGTTTGTAAGATTTACTGAAAAACAAGGTTATATTATATTTTTTTCAACTAACAAAACAACAATAATATTTTGTAGGAACTTCTATAACGTAATATACGTCCTACATTCTTATCATAATGATTCTGTTGAAATCATGTTATTTATGATATGTAAATATCACCAACCAATCGATCATATTGTCATTTGAATAATATCCACCATTCCATATGAGATATTCCATCAAAATAGTAGAGTATTTTATCTACTCAATGACCTGAACTTGTCCATCCCATAACATATGAAGTATCAAATAATATTTAAATTTTTTTCTTTACTTTGCACTATTTTGTATTATCTATTTAAGTACAGAATGATCTGATATACTCGACGTGGTCAAATACAATCTCACAATAAACATTGCTATATCCTTCTCTGGAAATAGCCTACTTTTCTTATTTTTACACTAACTGTATAATTATATAAAGTTACCTAAATAATTTTATGTGAAATAGTAGTTTAATAAGTATTGTTGGGTTTTGTTTGAATAGTATCCTCATCAGCTTAAAACAAAAATATTTATTATGATAATGATGTGAAAAGACTTCATGAAAGTGACATGTTCATGAAGACTTAACCAACTAAGAAATTTTCATTTTTAATTAAATAAGATTCCCGTCCCAAAAGGAACAGGAGTGGACCAAACTCGACGGCACTGCAGTGTCGAGATGATCCGTGGCACGGGTCCGAGTGAACTCGGGTGATCCCGGCCGAGGTCCAAAAATCCGCTTGAAAGAGCCTGGCCCCAATGGGACCAGCGCCGGCTTTCAAACCGACGAGAACAGATACTACACTTTGATCTTAGCCGAAAAGGCCGAGAAGCGATAACTATTTAAGATGCTAACAGCGCACGATACCTCCCGTGTCTTTACACATTTTATATGATCATTGTAGGAAAGTAAAAGAAATAATAATAACCATGTGCGAATAAAAAAAAAACAAAATGTACTTAATACAGTTGTTTATATTAAGTAGTAAATTGTTATTACGAAAGATATAGTTGAAATGACGAATTATTAGTAATAGATTGGCTTTTTCCATTGATAATAATTAAACAATAACAAACTGCCAGCCTATAAAAATGTTTATGATCAATTTTATTTTTTCCATTTTATTTTCGTCATAACAAGACTTGATGATGAAATCACTTTTGGAAGTAAATGTGTCGTTCGTTGTATTTCATCCTGCTGTACATGGTATTTGTACGAACAGAAGTAAGATGTTGCTTCAAAAGGTAAAGAATTCAAACTGCTTATTACAAACTTATCAAGAGATTACTGTTTTTCTCCTGTTACGCCCATATATAGTTGTTTTTTTTTCGGTCACTATATTTTATAGATAATTATTTCATATAGAAGCTTTTATAATGGAACAAGTACCTGAATCTTCGTCTCAAACATTAATAATTAATAATAATGGTGGTAGTACATATTCAGCAGGTGGGGAATTAGTTAATAATTTGGCTTCTTTAACAATAAATAGTGATATAACTCCACAACCAACAAATGATCAATTATTTCAAGATTATTCCACTACAGAGCTAGGCGATATACACGTACCCGAGTACGATATTGCTCGTACTCATACTCGTACTCGAAGGGTCGATACTCATACTCGTACTCGAAGGGTCGATACTCATGCTCGTACTCGAAGGATCGGTACTCATGCTCGTACTCGAAGGATCGGTACTCATACTCGGAGGGATGGATACAAGAGACGGGCCGTACCCACCCATGTCTGTTCCACTAATATGGCAAATGAATGGGATCCATTAACATTTAGTGATTGGGATATACAAATGCCGACTGCAGTTTGTATAACACGAATCAAATGTGATATTTCAAATATATTTAAAGATCCACCACCAGGAATTTTTATTTCACCTGATTCTGATAATCTTACTAAAATACATGCTCTTGTCATTGGTCCATCGGATACACCATATCAAGGTGGTTTTTTTTATTTTTTTACACGTTGTCCACCAAAGTATCCATTCGAACCACCTCGTTGTCGTTTAATGACTACTGGAAATAATACAGTTCGTTTTAATCCAAATATTTATGCTAATGGTAAAGTTTGTTTATCAATTCTTGGCACTTCGACTGGTCCATCATGGATTCCTGCTTTAGATTTATCATCTGTATTAATTTTAATTCAATCTCTCATGTCACAAAATCCATATCATGATGAACCCGGTTTTGAACAAGAACGTGTAGCAGGTGCTTCAAACGCTTACAATGAAATAATAAAACATGAAACATTACGTGTGGCTGTTTGTGAAATGCTCGAAAATCAAAACTCATGCCCAAAAGAACTATATGAAAGAATTTGTGAACAATTTTTTAAGTTTTATGATTATTATGTGCAAGTATGTACAGAAAATATGAGTAGAGATGGTGAAACAATGCAGGATCCATTTAATGAAAGTCGTGGACAATTTCAATATGGATCGATATTGGCACGTTTAAATAACTTAAGAGCTACATTAGAAAATAATGGTAATGAGGGTGTTGGTAATGATCATATGGAACAATAGAGAAGAAAATTCGTCAATTTGAACATAATTTATTTGTGATAACAATTTTTTTTGATCTCTTTATTTTATATAATTACATAATAAATCAAGATTTTATTCAGAACGAAAAAAAAGATCCGTACGGATTAAAAAGCCATATTGCATTGACGAAATAAAGCAGATGGTAGAGGAATCTATTTTGAAGATTTTGTATTGCATTGGATTATTATTAAATTTTTAGTAGGATTAAATAGTTCGTGAAAATATTTTCTATTTTGAAACGAACTCAATTTATTAGTATTACAAATATGTTTTCATTTATTACAAACTTTGAAAATATTACATTGTGTAATAATAGTGTAATAATGTCACAAATATTTAATGTAAAACAAGAAGCTTGAATAACTTTTACGGTTAAAAAACAAACGTGGATTAGAAATACATATTTCATTGTTATTTCTTTGAAAATAAATTATTCAGTTAGGTTAATAATAGAAAAAAACAGATCTCGATTATATATATATTTGATCTTTGTTACAGACGGATATATATTCTGACATGAAAAAGAACACAAGAAAATAATTGAGATGTAACGTCAGAAGAATTATGATATCACAAAGAACAAGAAGGAAATACAGATCTATGAAAAAAGTAATTTCTAGGAAAAGTGTTACCATCTAGCAAAGTTTATATACAAGATGAAAGACCTTTAAAAAAGAAATCTTTCGCTAGTTTTTATTTGCCTGTTGGTTTATAGAAACACGTTGTAACAAATTTTTGTTTATAACGTGTTGTTGTACTTAAAACCATTACTCCATCCTAAAATATGATTCCAAAAATAATATTTATTTAAAATTTTACAATGATAACTTACACGAATTGATAATGCATAGAGATGTTTTAACATTACATGATTCGGTTCAGGTAAGAGAGCGGGTTCATACTAGAAAAATAAATTATATAAATTCATTTATAGAAAAAAAAAAAAAAATTTTACATGAGCAGCTGTATCTTTATTAAGTATGATATTGAGAAGATGTGGTGGTAAAAATGGTGGTTTATCTGATGGAGAAAATTCTTCACGATTAGCTGGTGGCCAATTTTGATCATATGAACCTGGTGGTGAACGAGCCATATCTGGATCTTCAGCTACATAGACATATGAAAATAGTGCATAGTTAAAAAGAAAATTTCAAACTTACATTGTTGTTTATGCATGCCTGAACCTTGACTATTGGTTATGATTGAATCAGACGTAAGTGCTTCCATAACTTCAAAATCACTCTTTTTAACCGTAACAACATTATTACGACCATTATGACCATCATCTACTGATGGCTAACATAATAAAAAATAGTACATGGAATTTTAATAAGGGACTAAATTTCAATTTACCTCATTTAAATCATATTCCCATCGGCCATCAATAGAAAATTTATATTCATGTTTGCCTTCTGGTAATTCCAAAATAGCAACAAAATCATTATCACTAGAAAAAAGTAAATATAACATCATTTAATATTCATAAATATATTTACCTTTTAACCATGATAATTGTATCTTTCCAATTAGTAAATGAACCAACTAGTAAAGCTTCTTTATCTTTTGGTGAAGCTGGATATCTAAATACAACTGGTATCGTTTTCTTTTCATTTTGTAATTCTGCAGGCACTGCGTGTTGTGTGTGTTGTTGTTGCATTTGACGTTGATTTCGTATACGTATTGGTAAACTTGAATCTTGTCTTGGTGAGATCTATATAATATAGGAAAGAAAAAAAATAGGTCAACAATAAAGATTTATTCAGTTTTTTATTATATATCAGAATTACTCGTTCGTCGAAGGAGGATAAATGGCTATTTGGTCCTAAGTCATTGTGGTCGAGTGTCACATAACGCCCATCTTCGCCATCTCTTTCATATCGTGTGTACGTATCGCTACGGGTACGACCCGTTTGTTGTTGATTACCCATAAGCTGGAAACAGAAAGAAAATAAGATAGAATATTTTTTTTTGTTTTGATTAGTTATATGATAAGAATAAGTTACTCGAAATAACTTACCAAATATTATGTAAACTATTAATATATATATATTAAGTTAGTGTTGTCTAAAATAAGAATCAAACAAATAATCCCATTTTCAAAAGTTCACTTTTTTTTAAAGATTCAATTCTTTTTTAGTTTTCAATATTCTCTTTTTTTTTCTTGTATAATAATAAGAAAAAAAACTCTTTTTTTTCCACTCAAACTCTTGTTTTCTTTTTCTAATACGTATGCGTGATATATAATACAAAAAAAAAAGAAGACACTATTACGTCGTGCGCGCATATCGTTTCATCCATTCATTATCGTTTTTTGTTTCTGTACGTACAAACAAAAATTGCATTCATACAACAAATCACTATGAATCTTTTCTCATGAAAAAAATAGATCCATCAAAAGAAGAAGAAGAAAAAAAGTATCTATGCGCAACACAAGTTGAACAAAAGAATAAATATCCAGGAGAAGAGATCAAATGAAGCAATAAGTTTATAGTTTGAATAATAGTAGTACAAAACAACGAGTAGAGTAGAAATATGTATATATACAACATATATCAGAGGAAAACAAACTGTACAAAGACATACACACACACAAAAGAAAAAGAGAGAAAAGAAAATAATCAACCACAAAATGTGCACGTAAATCCTCCAAGTATTTTAATTAATGTTGTTAATTGTGTTGATTCATCAATTGTTGTATCACTTATATAAAAATTACATAATGAACAACGTTTCGCACGATCTTGAACGAATATAGGTAAAAATGTTTTATTACAACGTTGAAAATCATGACCATTTGAACAGGTAACATCAAAAAATGTTCGAATATATAATGTTTGTCCACATAGTGGACAATGAAGATATTTTTGATCACATGTTGATAAATATTGACTATTGATTTGTGCTGGTGGTGTTGGTCCATTCGATATTGTTATTGGTGTTGTTGTCATATTTGGATTTGCCATAGCAAGTAATGAACCAAATTGTGCTGTTAAATTATTTCCTGTTAAATTTGTATTTGTATTTCCACTATTATTTGTTGCATTCGCTGATGCTTGTAATTGTTGAGTTGAATATTGTAATAATTGTTCACACCAATAAAGTATGGATTTTTCAATAGGTGTTAATTGTATTTGTTGTTCAGTTTGTTGTTTTGTTTGAACATAATCATATAATTTTTTAATTAAATCAATAGAAATCATTTGAGCAAATACATCAGCTAAAAATAACATATATGGAGCTTGTCTTAAACCATTACCAAGACCACTATTATGATAGGATAATAGTAGACGACATAATGAATGAACTTTTTTTAATAAACTAACACTAGCTTGATCAGCACAATCAGCAACAGACATTATTAAATCTGTTAATGCATTTGATTTATCTGAATAAAGTAAAACACGTAATGCAGCTAGAACATCATTTAAACGAAATGATGGTAATGGATTTGAAAGAAAAAATGTTATTGTTGATGAAACATCTTTTAATGAATAAACTGATAATGTTAATATAGCTTCACTACGTTTCATTGTTAAAACAGTACAATGAGTTGGTGTTATACCAGCTGCTTGACAATCAGTTCCTATTAAAAAAGAAAGAAAGAAAGAAATATATGAAAATAACGATTAAATTATAATATAAAATTTTATAAAAAAAACATTATTCTAACCTGCTGGTAATAATTGACAGAATTGTTCAAATCTAGTTGCATGTTGTTGATGATGATGATGATGTGGATCATTAAATTGTTGTGTTACTTGTCTATGTATAAAACCATCACGACATATTAAATATAAATCTTGTGTCTCAGATAGAAAATGTGTTAATACACTTGAATTTAAAGCATATTCATTAACTGTTTTTATTGTAAATTGTGAACATGATGTATTATAACCTGTTGATGTTATATTTAATGTTGCGATTACAATAGAATCCATTTGAGCAAAAAATAATCGATGTTCATTATGTTGTTGATATAATGCAATATGATGTATACGTGCACCATTAGAAACAAGATGTGGAGATTCTTGTTTTGTATATGCAAGTAATGGTGCTAATTCATTACCAGTTAATGATATCGATATAAGTGATACATGTCCATGTGATGAGCCTAGTGCTAAAATACCGGCTGTATCTGATAATGATAGCCATGCCATAGCTGATATGGAATTATGTGGTGGTTTATAGGATGAATCAACTTTGGAATTATGTAAACCATTGGACATAGTTGGTGAATGGCCTGGTTTTTTCGTTCCATTCGCTGTTGCAAGTGATGGTTCAGTAGCATTAGGTTCTAGTAAAGCTGCATATGTTAATGTAAGATTATTTGTTTGTTGTTGCTCAGATAGTTGCCATATAGCAACATGACCTGATTCAAGGCCACAAAAAAGGAGGACAAATCGAGATGGTGAATCACGACGAAGTACATTTGACCAGCCCAAACAAGTCGGAACTAAAATAGATTCAAATAAAAAATAATAATATTTCTGTATCGTTTCTGATTGTTTTTTTCTTGTTCTTTTTTTTTTCTTTCTATGTTATTGTTCTTAATGATAGCATACTAGGAAAGAAAAAGAGAATAGTTCTTTCTTTTCTTTTGCCTAATAGGAAAAAAAAAGAAAAAGACAGCTGTTAATTTTTACGAAAATTTTTCTTCTATGGAAAAAAAAGAGAAAAAATAATTTGTGTTTTGAAGAACAAAAAAGAACGAAGGGGAAATGGTAACTTTTTTTTCTCTCTCTCTCTCTCTGTAGACACTCATCTGTTCAGAGAATAAATGCAGATTTTTCTTTTTTGTTTTTTCTTTATTCCTACCAAGTAATGCTTCTTCATCACGTGACAATCCGCCACCAGTTGCTGTTGTTCCATTGCTAGTTGGTGGTTTTCGTGAATTACTTGGATTCGTACCCGTACTACCATTTCGTTCATCTAACTGAGATCTCCAACGTTTGGATACATTAAATAACACGACAGGTGATTCCTGATTTGCATCACATATAACAAGTTGTCCTGTCGATGAAGCAACAGCTAATAAACGAGCACCGTCTGGTCGTAAAGAATCTGGACAGAATAATGCAAGTGGAGTATATGTATAATATCGTAAATCATCTTGTTCAAGATGTTGATCGAGTTGGAACCATGAAACAGTAAATAATTGAACTTTACGTGAAGAATGACCACTAAATGTTAATAATGTAAAACCAGTTGAAGATGCAATTGCAAATCGAGACCAATCCGAACAAGAAATAGCGCCATCTTTGAGTGAGTCCGACGTTTGAAAGTGCTGCTCTTCAAGCAGCGAACAATCAAAGCCGCTCATTTTATTTTATATTCTTGGCCGCTACTAAAATTATAAGACACAGAAGGAGAAAAAAGTTTTTTTGACAGTTTATTTAAATATATATAAAAAATAAAAATGAGGAAAAGTTATTATTTACAATTAATCAATAGAAGAAAAAAAAATATGGATAATATACCTGATAACAATAATGATTAAATTTATAAATTTTGAAAATATTATCTTAAGCCAAACAGACAGGAGAAAATCTCGAAAATCTTTTCTCCTTTTTTTTTCTCTTGTCTCGTTCGGCTGTTGAAGGAATGGATGGATCAGAACGCAAAGAAAAGAATGAGCGACAGCAGGGGGCAGCAGAGAGAAAGAGAGAGACAATGGCGCTATGGGAAGAAAAGGACGAGAGCGGCGCTACAGAACAAATCATCACCATTATGTATTCATGAATACCTCGACTATGTACAAAATGACAAGATTTTAAAATGATTTTCTTTCAATTATTAGCATTATTTTTTTCTTTCTAATACAAATTAATTTATACTTCATACAAATATAATTTAAGATGAATAAAGATGTCACTCATATTCAAATGCACAATCTTAATTCAATACAATTTAATAGATGGCAATAATACTTGTAAAACTTTAAATAGAAAAAAGTAATTTTTATTTCAATTTCTAAATTATTTTTTAAAGCATGAACTATATTGTTTCTATTCATTGAATACAATTTTAAAAATTGTAAATATATTATAGAAGATTTCGATAGATGGCGTGTAAATACTTATAAAATTGATTGAAAAGATTTAAGAATACTTTTTTAATTAATTTAATCTTCAAAATAATTTTTTTTCATAATTATCTTCATTCTGCCGTTGAACTTCGTAAAGTAATGAGACATCATACTTCATCAATGGCGACTGTTTTTTTTTTCTTTTTGAATGTTTGTTCTTATCCTTTTCTTTTTTTTTCCTTTCTCGTGGGTAATTGCTCAAGAAATTGACTACGTGGCTAGGTGTGCCACGAGTTCACATTATTCATGATGATGATGGGATTTAAATAGACTAGTATTTTTCATTTTATATTTCTTTAGATTTAGAATTTGTTCAATTCTCTTTTCCCATTTTACACGTATTTAAAATAAATAAACATTACAAATTATGGGAAACGTATTCGCTAATCTTTTTAAAAATCTCTTTGGCAAAAAAGAAATGCGTATTTTAATGGTTGGTCTTGATGCAGCTGGTAAAACAACTATTTTGTACAAATTAAAATTAGGTGAAATTGTTACCACCATTCCAACAATTGGTAAATAACGGTTCATAGTTTTTTTTAACTTCATAATAATATATTATTATAATTATAGGTTTTAATGTCGAAACTGTTGAATATAAAAATATAAGTTTTACAGTATGGGATGTTGGTGGTCAAGTAAGTGATTTTATTAAACTAAAAGGATAAATTTATATTGTGTTATGTTTTAGGATAAAATTCGTCCATTATGGAGACATTATTTTCAAAACACACAAGGTATAAATTTGAATATATTTTGTTTTTTTGAGTATATAAACTGATTATTTCTATTTTTAGGTTTAATTTTTGTTGTCGACAGCAACGATCGAGAACGTGTGGGTGAAGCTCGTGATGAACTTCAACGTATGTTAGCAGAAGATGAACTACGTGAAGCAGTCCTTTTAATCTTTGCCAATAAACAGGTTAGTTTGATTTATTTTAATATATTATTAAATTACATTCTTTTCAATAGGATTTACCAAATGCCATGAATGCTGCTGAGATTACTGATAAATTAGGTCTCCATTCATTGCGTAATCGTAACTGGTACATTCAAGCAACATGTGCCACCAGTGGTGATGGTCTTTATGAAGGTCTTGATTGGCTTTCAAATCAACTTAAGAATGCCAAATGAACATCGATGACAAAAATTCATTAAAAGCGTTTTTTTCTCTTTCTCTTTCGTTTTTTTTTGTCTTTTGCAAATATATTCCAACAAGAAAAGTATCATTGATATATCAGTCTTTTTCCTCTCTCTCTTTCTCATATACATTCTTTTAACAAAAAAAAAATAACTATGGAATGGAAATATACATACATACACGATTTCTTACTTTATATTTATTTCATTCTTACTTCAAGGTGTTCTAGTATATGTAAAACAAACCCTATTTAACTAATGATCACTTTAAGTGTCCGCTGTTTGTTTCTTCTTCTTTTTTTTTCTGTTGTGGAAATTCTCTTTTTATTCTAACTCTCTTTTTGTTCTTTTTTGCGCGTTTATTGTTCGTTGTTATTTGAAAAGTTTATTGGCTTGTATTCTTGTTGTATGAGTGAGTAAAAGAGAAAATTAAGAAAGATCATTATCTGGACAAGAAGAAAAAAAACATGTGAAAATATTTAGATCAATAAACATATAGAAAATATTCTTTTTGTTTTATATTTAGTAGTTTGTGAAACAAAATAGACTAAACTCTAAGATCACACAAAAAATTGTAAGATAAACTGACTGAAACACTTAATGAAAGAAAGAAATGAAGTCATATGACCTTTCAACTATAGATAAGATATACCTATGTGAAGTTATTAATATTAATTCGATATAGATAACATTTCTTTTTTTGTGTTCTTAGATCATTTTATGAATCTGTCGATTCGTGATCTTTGCCATCATTTACTAGCTAATATTAGATTTTTACTGGAACTAAATCAACAATATCCATTACTGATTAAAAAGTGTCATGTAAAATGATATTTTATTTTATTTTTAGATATTTATTTAATTATGAGTGTATTAATCTTTTTCTTTACTTTTATTTCTCTAATTACAATCGAAACTAATGCTTGTAAGATTTTTCTTTTGAAATTAACTCGAATTTATTAATATTTTCAAATAGATCGTGGTGATTTTATGACTAGTGTAAGAGATGGATACAGTCGTTATGATCCTGATTCAACACTCAATGGTTTTTTCCCATTCTGGGGCATTGTACTTCTATTACTCTCATGTAAATCTTTTTCTAATTTTTGTTTTAACTAATATTCAATCAATTATTAAATTTAGTTATATTTCTCTTGGTTGCTGGATTGGGTCTTGTTGGTTATTTAGTTGGTTGTCGATCACCACCAGATAGTCTTCGTCAACAACTTGATCCGACAACTTTTTATCCTTGATAAATATTTTAGAATGCTAATTTCTCAGTGTCAGATCTAAACATGTATACATGTAAATGTTTTCTTTTAATCCGATAATTGTATATCTTGTTTTATTCCGAATTCAATTGTGTCAGATTTTTTTGTTTTTTTAAATCTTTTTATAATAGCAATAAAAAGCGCCAGTAGAACTAGTAGAAAAATAATTATATATCTAATATTTTCTCAAAGCAAATGTCGATCAATGGAAGAGATAACTTTCAAGAATCATGTCTTTGTCTTGGTATTATCAATGGTTCAGTAAAAAGTTTTACTAAAATATATAATGAAGGAGAAAGAAATATTCAAATTATTATTGTCTGTATTGGTGTATTCGCTTTTACGATCATTCAAGATTTTCTTCGTGCATTATTGTCTACATTAAAAGATTGACATATCTTAGAATTTTTTTTCTGCATTAAATATAACACAAATTAATAAGTATGTCATTCACCATAAGCTATACAATAGTGAGTTAATTTCTCTGATACTTTTTCAGTGAGTCAAACATACCATACGTTAAAGCTTTATACGTCTGATTTATATCTTTGTAAAAAACAATAGTCAATTGTGACTTCTATTTTATTTTGAACAGTATGAGAATGCAATAATTTTCACAATTAAAAGTTGATAAAGAGTCTGAAGAGCATTTTATTAAACAAATAATCTGAAAATAGATCATTGAAATGACTAAAGCAAAAACAATTGATATCTCCAGATAATATATTTCTAATTCATTATATTTACTCTCGTACTGATAAGAATAATGATGAACAGTTTAACGATACAAGATATCTGCGTAATATAAATATATTACTCAGTTAATATGTTTCTCTATTAGGCATTAACCTCAAATAAATATTAGAGTTATATTGTTTCTATAGGAAAATCAGCAAGAATTTGTTCATATACATTTTGATACTTATCGTATTTTAAGAAATAATGATACATTGAAAACCTTACTGTTCAAATATCCATTAAATATCGTTTCAGATAATCTGGAATTTAACTAATTAAACTATTGAAAGGTAATAAAGTCATTATCAATAAACAGTACAATTACTGATCAAAATGATGTAGTTGTATATAATTCAATAAGACAATAGATAAATTGTAGTATCGGTGCATATTCTCTTAGTTCAGATCTTGCTGTTTCTATGTCTCCTGGCTCATCCAAATATAAACAATAGAGATTGTCATAAACACTTAGCTAACTAAATAATCTTTATATTAAACTATAACAATTTTACGTCTATCATACGAATTATTGAACAGCGTTATTGAATAGACAAAAAAAATACGAATATTACAGTTTTGGTGTATTCACTGGTTTTCCAGTTGTAAAAAATGTATAAATATTTTCAAATGTCACTTTAGCTATTGAACATAATGCTTCTTGTGTAAGAAAAGCTTGATGAGCAGTAAGAATAACATTTGGATAAGATATTAATTGAATAAGTATATCATCATCAATAATAGTTGATGAAAAATCATTGAAAAAATATTTATGTTCATGTTCATATACATCAAGACCTGCTCCAGCTACATGTCCTGATTTGAGTGCATTAATAAGCGCTTTTGTATCAATAAGACCACCACGAGCTGTATTTACTAAAATAACACCTTTTTTCATTTTCTCTATTGATTGTGCATTTATTAAATGTTTTGTTTTATGATCAAGTGGTAAATGAATTGAAATAATATCAGCTTGTGTATAAATATCATCTAATTCAGCATATTCAAAACCTAATGCATGTCGATCTTCATCTTTTATCTTGTATAAATCATATGCAATTACTCGACAGCCAAAACCACGAAAAATTCGAATAGTAAATTGACCAATACGGCCTGTACCTAATACTCCAACAGTTTTTCCATTCATATCAAATCCAACAAGACCATCAAGTCGAAAATCTCCATTTCGAATACGATCATATGCTCGATGTAAACGACGATTAAGAGCCATAACAAGTGCAACTGCATGTTCAGCAACAGCATTTGGTGAATAACTAGGAACATAACCAATTTCAATATGAAATTCTTCAGCTGCTTTTATATCAACATTATTAAAACCAGCACAACGTAGTACAATAAGTTTAACACCGATCTGTTTTAATTTTTCAAGAACTTCACGTGATCCATCATCATTAACAAAAATACAAATACATTCATATCCTTTAGCTTGTTTAACAGAATCTTTTGAAAGATGTTGATGAGTATAGTTAATTTCGTATTTTTCAGGTTGCTTTAGATCTTTAAGTTTAGTATCAAATGATAATTTATCATATTCTTTTGTACTATACATTAGTATACGAAAGATTATATTTGTATCGTTATTATTTGATAATATAGAATCATTATTTCGACGTTTCATTGTAAATGTATAAAATTAAATAAAATAAGAAAGAAAAACAAACTTAGCAACGAATTTGATTCCTTTAGTTAGTTGATATAAAATTTAGTTTAATCATAGATTATTTAATGAAAATACTAAATTAATAGTGATGGTCTTGGGCGCATCTTCATAGCGGATATGATCAACAATTTTTCAAGCATTCTATAATAACTATTTTATCGTATGTTTTTGGAGGAATATTCTTTAGTACCTGTATCTTTGTGCAAAAGAAGTACTATTATCCATACGTGATTTATTGACGAACGAACATATTTCTATTGAAAACAGTCAGTTTTGACCGAAATGAAAATGGTTTATCTATTTCATTTCTAATTATATTTTGCCCTATTTTTAAAAGTAGAATTCAACAGAATTATTTTATCGAGACATGTAAAAATGCCTCTACACAAATATTTATCACAAGAAAAGTAAATATTTTGTATGACACTTATGGAAAAAGGTGATGCAATGCTGCCCTATAAAGTACGCTATGATGAAAAAGAACGATGACATCATCATCATCATAACAACAACAACATAAATATGGGTGTGCAACGATGAAAAGAGTATATAATCAATAAAATTATTCTACGTAGTTTGTTAATAGTTATATTTAATTTACAAGAAAAAATGAATTCAAATAATGAGCAACATTTTTTATCTGGCAAACGTATTGTCATTGCGGGTGGTGGTATTGGTGGTATAACATTTTGTATTGCATTACAACAATTTCTTGAGAAAGAAAAAGAAAAAATCTCTCCACCACCATCTATTATCGTTTATGAACGTGATACATCGGCAGATGCAATCGGACGAGAAGGTTATTCACTTTCACTTCGTGGTGATCCACTTAGTGGAGGAATGCAAACATTACAAAAACTTGGAATGCTTCAAGAAATGATTGATGAAAGTAATCCTGGTTCGTATTTTACACTTTTTAATTATGATTTTTCATCACTAATGGAAATGCGATCACCACCTATGGAAGGTTTATCTCAATCAAGCATACGAATTTCACGTTCAAAATTACGTGAAATTCTACTAAAGCATGTTCATTCATCTATTTCTATAAATTGGAATTGTGCAATTACATCTGCTGAAGAACTTGACAATGGACAAGTTTCATTTAGTTTATCAAATGGAAATAAAGATCAATGTGATCTATTAATTGTTGCTGATGGTTCTAATAGTGTTATTCGAAAATGTCTTCGACCAGAATATGTACTCAATTTTGCTGGTGCTGTTAGTATTACAGCACGTACTCATGCTTTAGATAAATTTCCAGCACCTTTAGATAGAACATGGGGAGGTGCTATTGGAGGAGATGGTCATTTTGTATTTATTGCACCTTCTGATCGAACAAGTGCTTTATGGAGTGTTAGTTATTTAACAGATAAATCTCGTCCAGCTAAATCTGCTGGAACAATGACGGAACAAGAAATTGATGAAGTTTTAGAAGAAGCTAAACAACGTACTAAAGTATTTACTGAACCAATAGGAACATTAATAAAAGAAACATTACGTAGTAGTGTTGCTATATTTAATGCTAAAGATCTAGTTCCTTTTCGAAATCATGGTTCAGTTATTTTTATTGGTGATGCTCAACATGCAATGAGTCCATTTGCTGGTAACGGAGCAAATATGGCTATGATGGATGGATATCAACTAGCAGATCAATTAGTTCATTCGAAAGATTTAAATACAGCAATCCAATCTTATGATGATTTAAGTATTCCAA